CCCCAAAACCCCAAAACCCCAAAACCCCAAAACCCCAAAACCCCAAAACCCCTTATTAGATCATTTATATTGAGATTTTCATACAAAATGATAACTAATTAAGTTTATTCATCTTGTTTCTCCTCAATATCTTCAAGCGTGATGTCAATATCATTATCGATATCATCGATGACTTCTGGTGGAATAGGAATAGGTTCTCTGTCTTCATCAAACCTCTCATAGACTTCATTTTCATCAAATTTGTCATCTTCATCATCTTCACCCTCTCCAGCAGCTCCTTCGCCATGGTCTTCTCCTTCAGCATCTCCTTCACCTTTATCCTCGCCTTCAGCTTCTTCATCATTATAGTCATCAAACTCATCTTCTTCATCCTCAAGTTTTTCTTCTAGTTCTCGTTTCTTGCGTTCTTCTTCAGCTTCTCTCTTCTTCTCTTGTTCTTCGTCCCATTTTGCTTTTTCTTCCTCGAAGAAGGCCTTGCGTTCTACTTGGCGTTCTTCTTCCTGCTCTTGAGCACGAGCACGTTCTTCCTTGAGGCGCTGAGTGTTGAGGATACGCTTGACGACATCTTCACGACGAACAGACATTGCTAGCTTTACCCACTCCAGGAGACGTACAAATGTGTGGGAGTATGCCTCGACTTGTTCCTGCTCGATATCTTCGACTTGCTTTTCAAGGAAGTTTATCTTCTGATATGGCTTATACTCTCCATCTTTAGGCCCAACAGGCTGGTATTTGAATAATTTCATGAAGAAATTATCATCTATTAGCTCCTTAGCCTTCTTCCAGTCAAGCTTATTTGTATTTACTTCACAAATTTGCTCACGAGTGTAACCAAGAAGATAGAATATAGTCTGGAAGATTCTAGGGAAACAGATTGTTTTAGACTCCTTGAGCGCTAATATCTCGCTCCTCCAGCGCACATTGTGCTTATCTAATCTTGGCTCTATTGGCTTTTCAGGCTCGGCCTCTCCTTCACCTTCTTCATCTTTAGTCTCCTCTTTAGTCTCTTCTTTCTTCGGAGGTTCTGGCTTGGCCTTCTTAGGGTCTTTCTTAGCTTTCTTGTCATCTTTTCTATCCTTCCCTTTAGCTGTAGGAGGTTTTGAAGATGCTGATTCTTCATCTGCGCTCTCTGCCTCTGTTGTTAGCCCACTGACAAATCTTGTGTAGAACTGGAATTTGTAAACCTTGGATTCTTTATCTCTTTCTTCATCTGTCTCGAGATCTTCTCGAAGGGCGAGCATGTCATCGATATATTTCTCTTCATCATTTTGAATATTCGCAGATTCATTTTCAAAATATTCCTTATCCTTCCTTCCAGCATCAACTTTCTTCTCAATATCTTTTCTGAGATTTTCTTTTTCTGTCTTTTCCCAGTTTTCAGAGTAATCCTTGACTACATCAATGGCGAATCTGATTTGCTTCTCATCTAGGGTGCGGTCTTGGCCCATTGTGTCAATACAGACTACGTATTTTTGTTCAGAGACAAGGTAATCTTTTTCCTTGATTTCCTCCCATTCTCTACCTTCACCCTCATCTTCATCGTCTTCGCCTTCTTTGCCACTATTATTGTCCTCTAGTTCTTTCTTTTCAGCTTCTTGCTCTTCTCTTTTACGGTCGACTTCAATTTTGTCAGCTATAGCTTCTTCAATAGCCTTTTCAGACATGCAGGATTGGTAACTGAGTCTTATGGCGAGATAGGAACCAAGTCTGGGTACTTTAAAGAACTTCATACGTTTTTCTCTCACTACTTGTTCAATGAAGAGATGTTTGGGATCAGTGTTTTCCTCTTTGTCACCCTCTCCTTCCCCTTCTTCAGCAGGAGCTGGCTCTTCTTCTTCACCTTCTCCTTCAGCAGAGGTACCAAATAGGCGATGGGTGACTCCTTCGTTAGCTTTGATAGTTTTCCCAACAAGGAACTCAAAATCTTTTGGGGATGCATGAATGATTTCAATTTGCTCCAGTGCCTCTTCATCAATGTGAGCCTTGTCGTCTGACTCATCTTCAATTTTCTTCTTTGGCTTGGCTAGTTTTCCGATATACACTGTAGTTGCATTAGTGTTTTCCTATAAAACTCATGAGTCAATTATTCCAGAGGCAAAACAAAGTCTTACAGAGACGAAATCTGAAAGCTCCTGGAGATGATCTTCAAGGTCGTCACTTTCTCTGTATTTTTTATGGAAAGAACCTATTTGCTTCTGCTTTTCTTCCTTCTCTTTTTCAATTTCTTGATTTTTGACTTCTTCCTTTTTGAGATCCTTCTTATGTTGTTCCTGCTTGGCTTGAGCTTTCTTCTCTTCATCTTTCATCTGGTCTTCCTTCACAGAGGCCATGTTGTAATTTATCAGCCATTTAGCAAGGAATTTGACCGGGTTGTTGGGTTGGGATTTATATGTCTCAGCCATCCCTAAAAGATCAGTTTTAGTAATGTCCAAAATGTAGAATTTTGAGTAAAAGCTTAGTTTGAACCCCCCTAAAGCTACTATCTAATTTACCTTTCATCAGGATAGGAGTTATCTCATTCTCCTTCAAATACTTAATGTCTGGGTGCTCAGCCATTTGAATATTTTTATAAAAGTTTCAATAAATTTAAAAATAAAAGGGGTTTTGGGGTTTTGGGGTTTTGGGGTTTTGGGGTTTTGGGG